ACCATAATCTTGTGTGCCTGAAAGTAATGGTTCAACTTCTTTGAAGCCATTACTAAGGCCAGCATTAATTTTTCCAGTGGTAGGTATCTTGTTTCTGCGTCGGCCAAAGTTTTACTTACATAATAAACAGCCTTTTGCTCCCATTTTTCCTCTCGGATTAGCACTGCACTGACTGCGTGTTCTGAGACTGCTAAGTATAAAAACAGTTCCTCCCCTGGTACTGGTTTGGAAAGAACCGGAGTTGTGGTCAGGTACTTTTTTAGGTCGGTTAAGGCGGCTTCACATTCTTCTGTCCATAGGAAGTCTGTGGCTTTTTTCACCAGGTTGAAAAAGGGTCTGCACTTATCTGAACTTCTGCTGATGAATCTGTTTAGAGCTGCGGCCCTTCCAGTAAGCATTTGAACTTACTTTGCCGATGTCGGGCTTTGTAGTTCCAGGATGGCCTTGATTTGGTCTGGGCTGGCCTCAATGCCCTTTCTTGTTACCAAATACCCCAAAAATTTACCTGATCCAACTCCAAAGGCGCACTTCGAGGCGTTGAGTCGGAGCCGATATCTTTTGAGTATGTCGAAGACCTCTTTTAGGTCGGCAAGATGACCCTTTGATTCCTTGGTCTTCACGACCATGTCGTCAATGTAAACTTCTACTTTTTTGCCAATCAGGTGCTTAAACATCTTTGTCACTAACCTCTGATAGGTTGCTCCTGCGTTTTTCAACCCAAAAGGCATTACCTTGTAACAGTACAGGCCTTTCGGGGTGATGAACGCGGTCTTCTCCTCATCTGGAGGGTACATGGCAATCTGGTGGTACCCTCTGTATGCATCTAGAAAACTCATCCTTTCATGTCCTGAAGTAGCATTTACCAGTTGGTCGATCTTTGGTAGAGGAAAGTTGTCTTTGGGGCAGGCTTTGTTAAGGCTGGTAAAGTCTACACAAACCCTCCATTTGCCATTCTTCTTTTTTACTACTACTGTGTTGGACAACCATGTTGGGTACTGAACTTCTCGGATGGCCCTGGCCTCCAGGAGTCTGTCTACCTCTTCTTCTACTGCTTCGACGTGCATCAACGTCGGTCTTCTGGTACGTTGAATCACAGGTTTTGCCGACCTGTCGACATTCAGTCTGTGGCAAGTAACTTCGGGGTCAATGCCAGGCATCTCATAAGGTGTCCAAGCGAACACCTCTATGTTTGTCCTCAAAAAATCTTCCAGTTCTTTTTCCTCTTCTCCAGCTAAGCTTGAGCCGAGAAGAAAGAAACGTTCTTCGTCGCCCTCCTGGATGAGGATTTTCTTTAACGCCTCTTCGCTTTTCTCGGCTGGTTCTTTGCCGACATCTTCCAGGACTTCTATGGCTTCATCTTCAATTTCGGCTTTCCCTGGTTCTCGTACGCTGCAGGTGGACTTCATTGCTGCCATGGAGCAATTTTTTGCCTGCAGTTGATCTTCTCTGATCTCTTCAATCCCATGCTCTGTTGGGAACCGTAGTAATTGATGCAACGTTGAGGGAACTGCCCCCATTGCATGCAACCACGGCCTCCCCAAGATGATGTTGTATGGTGAGGGCGTGTCAATTACCAGGAATTCCGTCTTGATCTTCTTAGTGCCGGCTTGCACCTCCAAGCTTGTTGCGCCCAGTGGCCATGTCGGCGTTCCATTAAAGCCGACCATCGGGCCGCTGGATTGTTCTAAGTCATCAGGGTGAAGGCCCAGCTCCTTGTAACATCTGACATACATGATGTCACAAGAGCTGCCTTGATCTATTAGGATGCGTTTCACTTGGCATTCCCCAACCTGGAGGGATACTACCAGGGCATCATTATGCGGATGTTGGACCAATTCCAGGTCGGCTTCAGTAAAGGCTATTATCGGTCCTTGGCATTCCTCTGGCCGATGTCTCTTTTCCCCGACTTGGTAGACATGCTGTAAATGTCTTACCCTCTGGGTCTCCCCTCTGACTTCGTTTTCGTTGACCCTTGAGTGGATCACATTAACCACCCTCGGTCCTCCTGCTTGTGGTAGCTGTGCTGGGGGAGGGGGTGCTGCTGGTGCTTGAGGCAGCCTTGCCTCGTTCTTCCCTCGTTCTGGCTTCATCGACCAGGTCCCTTAGAAGGCCTTGTCTCACCAGGTCTTCCAAGTGTGCTTTCAGGGCTCGGCAACCTTGAGTTGGGTGCCCTTCTTCATTGTGGTAGGCACAACGTCTACCAACGTTCCTTCCCATGAATTTGCCTGGTGCTCTTGCCGGAGCCCTGAAATATGGTTGGTTTCGTATTTGATCTAGGACTTTATGGATTGGGATTCGGAATACCGTCGTTACCGCCTGTTTACTCCTCAACTCTATTTCTTGTTTGGTCGGCCCATTGTTGCCTCGGCCTCGCTTCGGCGAGCCGTTTCCCTTTTCTTGCTTTACCTCTTTGTTTCCCGATGTATCTTCTTCGGCCCTGGCGTATTTCTCAATTCTTGCCATGAGTTCTTCCATGCTTTTTGGCAATGTTTTTGCCAAAGACTTCCGTAGTGGGCAGTCATCTTTCAGGCCGTTCTTGAAAGATACGACTGCTACCTCTTGGTTGCATTCGGGTACTCGGTTGAACACCTCGTAGTACCTCTTCGCATAGGCCCTAAGGCCTTCTTCCTTGGTGATTCTCAGAGCCATCAAAGCATCAACCCTCAGGGGTTGCAGCTTGTTGGTCACGAACCTGGCCACAAACATCTCGGCCAGGCCTTCCCATGTCTTTATGCTTCCTTTTGGTAATTTATGGAACCAATCAGATGCAATTTCCCCAAAGGATGAGGGGAATACTTTGCAGAGCAATGGCTCGTTTCCGCTATATAATGCCATTGAATTCAGATAGCCCAACATGAAAGTTTGGATCTGACTTACCGTCATAGATTTGAAACCTCGGGATACTGAATCTCTTGGGTGGTTCGAATTTGTCCAGTTCCACCGAGAAGGCTGTCTTCGGTTTTACTGGAGAGTTTACCTCAACTTCAGCATTCTGCTGCCTTCTTTTGAGGTAGTCCCTCAGGTCTTCTTTGCTCCTCCTTGGAGCTCGGCTGTCTTTGGATTTTAGTCTTTTTGGTACACTGCTTTCGGCCTCGTGGTGGGTCCGTTTGGATCTTTCTTCATGGGTTGTGTCAAAGTGGAGTACTTGCCCCTGAACATGTCGATGTTCTTTGGGCTCTGGATTCTTCATGTGGTGCGTCCTTCGGGACTCTTCTTGCCTCGGCTTTTCCCGTCCGACTTCCCTGGAAGGCCGGTGAGAATGCCTTCCGCTTCTGGTATGCTGAGGGACCTCGGGGATTGTTTTTCTTCCGCCTTTTTGGGTGTTGGTTGCTGGCATCGGCGTATCTTGCAGCGGGTATGGTGGCTGCATAACATTATTCTGCATCATGAAGTTGACGACTGACTGAAGGTCTGCCAACTTGTTCGCCAATTCTTTCACTTCCTCATCCCTTCGTAGGCACCTGTCCGTCCATACCTGGAGGTTATCTTCATTGTAGTACTTTCCTTGGTTTGTCCTTTTTGACGTGTTGCCTTCCGGGATGACGTCGTTCTCTCTGTGACCCTGGTCACGGGCTTCTGTATTGTGGTTGTCTCCTTCAATGTCAAGGTCAATTGGTCTGCCACTCCCAACGGGAGCGTCATCCCCAATATTTTCCTGCTGTCCGTTACTGGCCATCTATTCTTCCTTCGTTCCCACAGACGGCGCCAAATTCTGTGGGTGAAAATCTGACCACACTGCCCGTTTAGTGATCAGCTGGAGAGCACAGGCAGAATAGATGGCTTCAGCAACCTGTAACAAACAGAAAAGGCTCCGGCGGTGGTTCTTCCACCCGGGGGCACTCCGACGATCAAGTCAGTATATCTCTCAAAGATAATCAAGTGCTAAACTTAATACTCAAACATAAATTGCATACCTTAGACCCACGAGGGTGCTTCTCTTTTATAATACATTCAATCCAAGTCCTACTAGAAGTATGACTTCTACGAATTCCAATTCAGTGCTTACTTTGGACTCTTTAAGAGATAAAGATAAACTCCCTAAGAGCTTTATCCTTATCTTGGTTAAGTCCCCTCTTTGTCTTAGGACTCTTGTCCCTTATCTGCTTATCTCGGATTCCGATATCTTCGGAGGTAATCTCGGCAACTCCGAGATCATCTCGGCCTAACTACCACGACACGCGGCACCTCGGCTGACACGTCGGCGTCACCATGCCACGTGCTGGTATTCAGAAAATATATCCCCACAAAAATAAAGGAATGTAAATCTATAAAACAACAATTAGAACAGAGTGATTTGAAGTTGGCCCTTACAAATTGAGGCCTATGACTCAGGTTGATACAACTTTGACATAGACGGGGAAGTGTTGGGATTTTTACATCTCCACACACCATAGAGAAAAATGCACACAGACTCAAATGATTCTGCACATGCTGTCTAAGTGTACCGCAAGAGATAATTTCCCAAAGTTGCTATTTATCAACCAACCAATGAATTCTAGTCTCACTCAATTGTTAAAAGACAAATCCCATTCCGGATTCCACAACCTAATCCAAAAACATATACGCTGTGTTTGGTTGGGGAATTTGGAAAGGAATTTGAAAAGAGAAGAAAAATGTAGGTGAAATGTAAATAAAATATACTTATATTTCACATAATTTCACACACATTTTTCCTTTTTCTTTCCAAATTACTTTCCAAATCCCCTAACCAAACACAGCGACAAAGAAAAGCAATAATTCTATAGTCCCACATAATACAAGGTCCGCACACAAACAAAGTTCAAACTATGATAACTAGTTATAAAATGAGGTGTAGTTTGCAAAAAATCATGACATGAGTGAAATCCTATCCAAATCTATGATCCCAACACAACCTCAAAATAACTTGAATTATATTTCATAATCAATTTATCAACCTCAACTCCTATATTGCACTTTGTATCACTTTTATTGTCAATTTGATCTACATATATGATGATAACTTGCAAAATTGGATTTACCTCATAACCATGAAAAAAAGCTCGATTTATTGCTCTCTTCTCTACCAACCACTTGAGTAGAACTACTCAGCCCTCTCACCAAAGTAACAGGAAAAGTCTGAACCTCTTGTCCACAAGAATCACAGTTGTTGTTACCTCTCGTTCTTGACCATTTAGCTGCACAGTCTTCATGGATGAGGGCGTTACCGCATTTACATTCCGTCTTGAGTATATTTTCTTCTTTCAAATTGTGAAAACAATTTTTGCAAACTGCCTCTTCTTCAAAAATCTCCTCATCACCTTCCATTGGAACTGGACCATTGTGTTCTAATTTGCCAAAAAGGACTTAAAAGTTATATGGAAAGCAAAACTGAAACTGATATATATGCCAATTACAAGAACATCAAATATAAATGTAAGGTCAACAATTTATCCAAGCAATCTAATTATGGTTTATTCACAATCCTATACATAGCAGGTGTCCAAAAAAGAAAAAAATACAATATTATTAAGAGAATGTAAATGGTTTAAACTTTAAGGAGCAAAATGAGTAAGAAATTGAAATATTAGATAATATGTATGTACCTGTAGGATTTGTTTGACCTAAAGTTCTTGGTCTTACAAGAACAATATTTTGGCCAGGCACAGATTGGCTTGAGATTGTAGCCCCAACCTAAAAAAATAATAAAGGAAAAGTAAAAGTTTAGATTCATTTCTTCTATCATTTACACTTCAATTTGCTTCTATGGTGATTTTTATCAAGCATGCATAGTGCCCTCTCTCTTTTTCTTTTTATTTATTTATTTTTTTTCAACCGTTCACAACGTTGATTGTCACATTTTTAAGTGCAACCAATCACTATACTTTCATGGAAAATGTTATTCATACATTAAATTCATATAAAAAACACAATACCATTTTAGTAAAGTGAATGGTTTATATTGAGCCACATCACTACGTATAAAAATTTTGTAAGAATTTTTTGATTGTATATTATTACTCTACTTTCATTTATATTTTTCTTGAAAAATGTTGCATGTACATGTTAATTTTTGTCATCCTCATCAATATTAAATGAATAGAACGGTAATAGTTTACCTTGACTTAAATGTGTAAATGACGTGTTACAATTAAAATAGAAGGACTAAAATAAAATTTCAATATAATAATGGGATATTAAATGTAATGAACCCATGTGAATAATATTAAAAGAAAAGGTAAATTACACTTTTCACCTTTATAATTTGACTTAAATTTTACTTTGATCCTTATTATTTCATTGTAAACAATTTAATCTCTACACTTTAAGTTTTGTTCAATTTAATCATTCTGCCCAAATTTCTATTATATCTTTCTACGTGTACACGTTACGAGATTGACAAGTGTTCTAAAATAATTAATTTTAATCTTCAGTTTGAATGAAATGACAAAACTGAAACTTGATTTAAAAAATAAAGACCAAATTATTTAATTTAAAATAATAAAAATTAAAGTAAAACTTGAGTTAAACTTCCAAAGTAAAAATTATAGTTTACTTTAATATATATCTATATATATAAGAATCACTTTCCTGCTTGTAGGTTTTTTTTATTCTTATTTTGCCCTTAGTTTGTTTTGAAATTTGTTATTTTGCCCTTTAGCTTGGTCAAACAATTTGGGCAGTGGCCTCTTGGAAATTAATCACTTTCCTGCCTGTGGGCTGTTTTTTTGTTCTAATTTTGTCCTTAGCTTGTTTTGAAATTTGTTATTTTGCCCTTTAGCTTGGTGAAACAATTTGGGTAGTGACCATTTGGAAATTATGTAAGAAATTTTGATTGCTTTGATTGAGAAGGTTTGTCTTGGGTTGCCTATTTTGCCCTTAGCTTGTTTCTGAATTTCCTATTTTACCCCTTAGCTTTTTTGGTGAAATAATTGGGGTGGTAGGCTTTTGGAAATTATATAAGAATTTTGGGTCATTGTTGTTAGGGGTGTACACGGGTCGGTTCGGCTTGGGTTTATCCTTGACCTGCCAACCGAATTGACACATTCGGGTTTGGAAATCAGCCATCCGTCATCAACCAAATTACTATTCAAAATTGACAGAATTAAGGAGCTCGATTTGGTGGTTGGTTCGATCGAAATCGAATATCTAACAAAAAATATTAGTAAAAAAAATGCTCAATTAGCATACATTAAGGTGTGTTTGGAAAAGAAAAGATTAAGTACACACCTAACCTTTGGCATAATGTACAAAGTGGTTATCCCAAGACTCCAAATCTTAACCATTGAACCAATGGTCACCCCTTAATAAAAAATATTATGAAAAGTAAAATAAACTTGCAAAATAACAAATTTAAACTTATATACACACACACACACATATATATATATATATATATGTACATAACTATGATACATAGAATGGAAGAAAGGTAGTATCGGCCTTGGACTAAGGCCATTGAGGTCTGTGCCTTAAGTCTCAAAAAATTGGTCCAAAATAGGGGCTCCAAATTTAATAAAGTGTTATAATATATTACAAATTTAAATTGCCCCAAATTATTTTTGTTATTTTAGGGCTTGTTTAAAGGGCCCAAAAATATTCTGTTGAACCATATTTATTTATAAGTAGGGATGTAAGAAAAATCGAAAAAATCGACCAAACCGATTGAACCGGACCAAACCGGCTATATTTGGTCTGTTTTTTAACAAAAATAATAATATAATGATATTAATAAGTATAATAAATTATTAACCTTATCATCTTTATAATTTAAGTTTGTAAACTCTTATTATATATAATCTTAACTCTAACTCATTATTCTTGAAACCTTAGTATTTTAAATTTTTTTTTTTCAGGTTTTTGTTAATTTAGGAATTAAAAAGTATGTATTAAATGGATAGATTAGATATGTTTGAAATGGTAGACAAATAACTAATTTAATATTTTTATATAGATTAATGATTATATTTAAAAGTGGCTCAAGTTTGAAAAATTTTAAACTGATTAAAACACACCAAATCGAACCGTTTCAATTGATTTGGTTTGGTGCCGTTTGAAGGGAGAAACGGTCTGTATCGGTGTTCAAAATAATAAAACCGACATTATCGATTAGGTGTAATTTTTTACCTAAATACCGACCGTACCGAACCGATTACATCCCTATTTATAAGTGTGATTTCGCCCAATTAAAATTAAAATATCTACAAAACATGTTGGTGGCCCAAGGAGACTAATAATATATACTAATAATATAATGATATTAATAAGTATAATAAATTATTAACCTTATCATCTTTATAATCTAAGTTTGTAAACTCTTATTATATATAATCTTAACTCTAACTCATTATTCTTGAAACCTTAGTATTTTAATTTTTTTTTTTTCAGGTTTTTGTTAATTTAGGAATTAAAAAGTATGTATTAAATGGATGGATTAGATATGTTTGAAATGGTAGACAAATGACTAATGTAATATTTTTATATAGATTAATGATTATATTTAAAAGTGGCTCAAGTTTGAAAAATTTTAAACTGATTAAAACGCACCAAACCGAACCGTTTCAATCGATTTGGTTTGGTGCTGTTTGAAGGGAGAAACGATCTGTATCAGTGTTCAAAATAATAAAACCGACATTATCGGTTCGGTGTAATTTTTTACCTAAATACCGACCGTACCGAACCGATTACATCCCTATTTATAAGTGTGATTTGGCTCAATTAAAATTAAAATATCTACAAAACATGTTGGTGGCCCAAGGAGAATAATAATATATACAAGCTCTCTCTCTCTCTCTCTCTCTCTCTCTCTCTCAAAGTAATGAAGGAAAGGAAACATACCAAGCATAAGTAGAGCACTGAGCAATGGCAGAAATTGATTGGAAATTATCAACGGCGACGACTTACTCTCTCTCTCTCTCTCTCACACGTAAGTCTCCTTTCTGTCTCTCTCATCAAACTTTAATGGAATAAATAAATTTGTTCTAATTTGTTTCTGACTTATTTCTTTACCAAATTTTAGTGAAATAATAAATTTGTCCTAATTTTTTTTTACCTTTCTTTATTTATCATATTTTAGTGGAATAATAATTTTGTCCTAATTTTTTTTATTAAATTATTTTTTATAATTTATTTGCTATTAGATATGAGATAATTAGTGAATTGTGATTATAGTCATGTTTCCTAGGAAGTATAGTTCTAAAAATGAAAAGAGAAAGAAAAAGTTAAAAATAGAACAATTAATTTAATCTCAATCGAGAGAACTTGATAAATATTTTGGTAACAAGAAATAAATAGATTTGTTTGCTTCACACTGTTAGAACATTTCATTAATTAGATTTGTTGATTAATTAATTTGTTTTGTTAATTTGAACTATACCTTACGGTAATTTTTTTTTGGTACTCTAGAATTAATATATTTTGATATCTGTTTTAGTATCAATCGCCGATAGTGATACCAAATGGGATGTTTTATTACTTTTATTTTTTATGAATGTAGGTCCTCTCTTTCGATTTCGCCTTAGGTCCTTGAAAACTCAAGGCCACCCCTGTAAGAAAAGATATGGAAAAAGAGAGAGAAGACTCACAACCACTATCGTTGTTAGTAAGATGAAGAAGAGAGTGAGAGATGGGTTGTTTTGTTTATCAAAACAGAGAGAGAGAGCGCCGAAAAAGGGAGGAGAAAAAGAAGAAAAAAAAAACAGAGATGAGAAAAACATAAATGGATTTCTATTTGAAAATGGGGAGATAGAGAGAAAGAGACGAGATGGGGAGAGGGAAAAAATAAAAAGAAGCGTCCGAGGTGAGGCAGATAGATGGGTTTATCTCCGAGAGAGAGAGAGAGCCGAAAGAGTTGATAGGAAATAAGAGAGATGAAAAGATGAAAATGTGAGGATTGATGTGGGAGACACAAGGATAGTTGGGAAGTCAAATATATGTGACATGGGAAGATGATAAACTTGTATTGGGAAGATATTATAGTAGTTCCACCTCACTATCAATCTCAATCCCCTCCCTATAACCCCAAACAAATGGAGCCAAAGATCCTTGGAAACAAAAGTAATGATGTTTGGTTTTTCTAAGCAAGTACATCCCATAATAGTTAAACCATAAAGCATATATATATATATATATAGATATCTATAAGGTAATATTTTGGTCGAGTCGGTTTGGTTGATTTTTTATTTTAAAAATCTGATTTCTAATCGAAAATCTGAAAAAAGTGGGAATTCCAACCACAATCGACCTTGAAGCTGGGTGAACCTGCCCGTACCATGAACGGGAAGGTCGGGTCGGATATACGAGTTATTTAGATTTTTGCATACCCTAATTGTTATTAGTCTAATAGTTCAAAAGGAGAGTTTTTTTTACTTTATTTATTTTTTAAAAGTGGTATTAGAATGATTATTTGTATGGTTGTTATAATTTCAACTTTTTACAACTATATCCATAATCTTTATACAATTAAATATCAGTCATTGGAGGGGATTCATAGTGAGGGGATTAATGGTGAGAAATTGTTAAATTATTTTTATATAAAATAATAAAACAAATAAAAAAATATAAAAAATTAAACATTAATATTTTTAAAAAAATTCCTAATATATAAAAAATAAAAAAATTTCCAATCCCCTCACTATTTTTCTAATACCATCTCTACATTCTCCTTCTCAATTCCCCTTCCAAGGCCTTTACTA